CTCAGTAGGTGGTTCGAAGAAACCATTTTGCTCTTCGGTACGGCCATTATCCATAACGAAGTAGCATACTGGCCTATGCTTGGCCATTTCTTGTTCTACTTCCCAATCGTTCGATTCGACCTCCATCTGGCGGTTGAACTCTCTTGGCAAAACTGAGACTATGTTCACCATGATATCTAGGGTGTCATCAGACTCAGAGCCATCTTCGTCATCAACTTTGCCCTGGTTAGGCCATACCAGTCTATTGGTCACTGGTTGCCTCTCCAGAGGCTTTCTCTGCTTTCGCTGAGGGACATTTGAACTTGATTCTGGCTTTGGTTCATTGATAGCTTCCCTCTCAGCCTTTCGCCGCCTCTGGTATCTTCTCCATTGGGATCGAGACATGGGATTCTTTCCATTGTAGTTACTTGATACCTGGGTCACTTTGGAGGCAACAACCTGAGGTTCTTTCTTGTGTGTCAAAGATGAACCTCTTGGCACTTCGAAGGAGTGCCACCTTTCTTCGCTCGGTCTCTTTCGACCCGATGTTTTATGCCACATATCAACTAGCACATTGGTTGGAGGCCTGAAAGTCAGTGGCCTCTTTTCTTGATTTGAACCCTTTTGGTAGATTCTTCTGGGGTCATGTCGAACACCAACACCTTCCCTTCTTCTGTTTGCTGCTCTTACACCTTTGATGTGTTCAGCAGCTTTCTTGTCGAAAATCGAGCTGCATCGAGGACACAACATCACTTCTGACTTCTTCTTCTGGCATCTTTGCAGGAAATCTGCCAGATTTTCATTTTCCCAAGGGAAAGCCGTTTTGTTTGCTTGCTCTTGCCTAATGGCCTCCTCTGAAGCTTTTGATTCAGAGATTTCGACCATGTTGACATTCATGGTGTCTTTGGTAGCAAGAGTCATCTGCTTCATCTGGGCCTCCAGGTCTTCTGTCTGGCCTTGGACTGCAGCCAAGTAGGAACTGGGTTTAGCTCCATATTTTGAGGCTCCACCTGTCTCCAGTCTTGGGCCTTCAGTAGCTTTTTGGATTGCTTCGATTGTTTTTCTAGAAAGATTCCCAGAAAAACTGCCAAAGATTGGTATGTTGATATGATCCTTGGTGACTTCGACCATAGTTATTCCTGGCCTTTTCTCCCGACTTCTGGACGCCTCGATCACATTCACCTCTGAAGGTTCAGCATAATGGGCTTCAGCCTGCAAAGGGTTAGAGTCCACAGTCATGGGGGTCTTATCGGCGAATTTCAACCTCCCTTCTTCGATAGCATTTTGTACGAGATCCCTGAAAAGAAAACATTGAGATGTTTTATGGCCCAGAAAGTTATGATATTTACAAAAGCCTATTTTCCTTCTTTGATCAAGAGGAGGCACTTTTACCCCTGGGGGTATTATCATTTGGCCATCTTTTACAAGTAAGTCAAAAATTTCATCACATTTTGTAATATCAAAACTGTAAGTCTTTTTAGGGAACCTATCGTTGGCCCTTTCAGGACCAATGGGGTTTTTTCCACTTGAGGGGACTAGTAGTTTGAAAGAGTATGGTGGCCCTTGTTTTAACTCCGCTAAGTCGACCTAACTTTCTTCGACGGTTATAGGTTCGTCGAATGTTTCTGGATCTTCATCGTCCATTTCGACATATGCTATCCTTTCTCTTTTATGAGTTTTTGTCGCCCTGGCTTTTTCAGCTTTAAGGCGTTCTACCTGTCGAACCCTATCGGCCAATTGGGCCATGTCTCTCAGGTATTAAGTGTATAATTTCTTCCTAATGGAATAATCTAGACCTCCTGCGGCTATTTCGACTAACTCATGTTCTGGCACTTGCGTAAAGCATCTTGCTTTGAGCAACCTAAACCTATTTAGATATTCGTCTATAGGTTCAGTGAATCGCCTCTTTACACTGGCCAATTCTTTCAGGCTTATCTTGGTTTGTCCCATGTAGAATTGCTCATGGAACAATCTCTCCAACTGGGTCCAATGGTGGATCGAATTGGGGGGAAGAGTTGTGAACCAAGTGAACGCGTTCTTTGTTAGGGAACTTGGGAAATACTTAATCCTCAGGTTTTCATTGTTTGAAATCTCTCCTGCTTCGATCAAGTATCTCGCCACATGTTCGACAGTGGATTCTGTCGTGTCCCCTGAAAATTTAGTGAACTTAGGGACTTTGCATCTAGGAGGTAAGTCCGTTTGTAACACATATTCTGATAGTGGGGATGTAAAGTTGGGCCTACGGAAGCCCGTATTCATCCCATTTTGCATCATAATTCTTTCGATCATGGCTGTCAAGTTATTTTCCAAACCAATATTCTGGTATTGGATCTGCTGAACTACTTCGTCAACATTTTGGTTTCTATTGACTATCCTTACTTCCGGGGATATGACTCTAGGTTCTTCGACCCTGGGTTGTTCCATTCGCATCCTAAGGTTTTCTTCGACATGCTGCTGGACTTGGTTAATAGTGGTTTCTTCCTCTAGAAGTATACCTTGGTTTCCCCTCATCTGTGCCCTTTGGGGCTGTCGAATAGGTTGGGGTACCCCAAAAAAGTCGGCCAGACGCGCCATTTGCGCTGTCATTTGCTGATTCGACTGGGTGGTATTTTGTATTAGAGGATTTAGCACTGTGCTTAAAGTTTGTGCCAACATTTGAACCATATCGTGGTTGCTTTCGTCCATTTGCTGCCTCAAGACTGCTGTCGAGTCATTCGTAAGGCCATGTATTACTTGGGACGTTCCTCCTAAGAGTTGGGTCCTACCCCTGTTCGCCATACCAACTCCAGAACCTTGGAGTGGCGAAGAGGCGCTCACTAAAGGGTCTGAAAAAGTGGACGCAGCATTCGTCAGGCTAGCCAATTCAGAAGTTGGCATGCCATAGAGTGGTTCTCGATTTAGACCGACTGTCGAAAAACCTGGGGGAACATAAGGCCTAGTTCCTTGGTTTCCCCTTGGTGGGGGAGTTCCCAAAGGCATTCTGGGGCCGGTAAATGGAGGTAATGGCCCCGTTTGTGTGACCGTTACTGCTGGTGTTGAACCAGCGGTTACCATTTCACTTACGGTTGGGATAACCGTTGTTCCCACGTTTGTTTGTGGGATTTCGCCATTGTTTGGCGGATTCGCCATCGCTTCACTTCTTCTCCTAGTATTGGTATCGTTGGTGTATATTCTACCACTTCTCAATAACATGCAATACTCTCGAAAAAGGAGGATATTTTGTATAAAACGGTTAAACTTAAAAATCAACACAAGGTCCCACCGGGTGTGCCAATTTGTTTACCGTGGAAATTGGTAAACAACCGCTGATCTTCCAAAAGGTTACTTATTTGGTGACTCGCAGGATCGATCAGATTGATCCTAAGACATGGTTGATTTTCTGGAGTTTGACTAATCCTAATGGTGATTAATGCCGGTAAAGTAAAGACACTTTAAGTAAATTGCATGAAGAAAAACTTGATAGAATAAATAAAAGCGTTAAATAAAAGGCTTCGACGGAGATGAGTAAATGAAAAGCAATAAAGTGCTTGAATATAAAAGACTTTGATTAATTTAAATGGTGTTTCACACATACATTCTCAACGATTCTTTCGCTCACACTGGGTACTTGAATATAGATGAGTGACTTGTATAAAATGATGAACACCCTCGAAAACTACGTGAACAACTAGTATTTATACTAAAACAAATCCTAAATAACCGTTGGGCAGTTACGTCGCTTCGAGATGACGCCACATGGCACGCTCACATCATTCGACGCTCCTGATCTCGGCACGTTGTACTTGGTAACTGCTGGGAACCGTTTCCCCTCCAAGCATTCAAATCTCAAACCGTTCGACCCTGGGCATCAGGTACCTTTGTCGAGAGGTTCCTTCGACGTCGAAGACGACAAGATTCCCACTTAAAGGAAATTCTCTAAGTACCTTGTCATTCTCTGATGAGCTTTCGACAGGATCAGCTGGTCGAAGCCTTCTTATGTATGAAATTCTTCTGACTCATAATTAATGGTCTATATTGATAACAAACAAGGGTGTCGAATTTAGGAGCCAACAGAACTATACACATATTCTTAGAATGGTTTGCAAGGAATGATTTCCAATGAACCCACATTATTCACATTATTCAATAATATGGTGAGAGTAGTGTGAGAAATAGTCTAATATGCCATTGTAATTAGATTAAATGTTAATCGGTATTAGAGAGATAATATTTGAATTTCTAAATACTTTGATTTTTATAGATTCTATTTAAACTGGTCTCACAAAAATCCTTAAAAAATAGGACTAAGTGAGACAGACTTTGTTAATGCTACGAACCTAAAATCTTATTATGTCCCATAAAAAATATGAGTGTGGGGATAGGGTGCATCCGCGAGCATTACAACTTTTAAGATAAAAATTACAAAATTTCATATTAATGTTTGTACCTATAAAAACTTAAAAGAAAAATATATAGAATTGAATGAGACTCAAATATTAGAAAATATGTTTTTAAACTTTACTCTATTCCAAAAAAAAAACAGTAAAACGCAAATATCCACGGACGAGACGCATATTATCACCTCTAATTTTCGCACTACTCAATCTAATTGAAAATAAGTAAGCAGTCATTAATCAATTCGATTGGTAAAACTTTGGTTTCATCGATTTTTTGTCTACAATTCTAATCAGTTTGTGCCATAAAAAAAATCATATTTAACAATTTACTTCTCAAATTTACAAAATTGAATGAGTCATCCTTTACCAAAATATTGAAAATATAAATTTAATAATTTGATATCTTAAAATCTTTAAAACGAGAATGACAGAGAAAAAATGGAAAGCATGAATATGGAAAATTTTGATTTGAGTAAATATATTTTTGACCTCACACGCTCAAAATTGAATTATTATTATTAATCCTCTTTTGAATTCTACGTTACTTCATTCCCTCTTCAACATAATCACTGAATAACCCAAACCCCAAACACAAACACAAACAACTGTGTCTTGTTTCGTTTGTTTCTCATTCTCACCGTAACAATGTCCACAAAAACCTTCATCGTTTACGTACTATCAACTTTCTCTTTCGCTCTTCTCTCTGCACTATTTCTCATGCATAATAACCAAAATCCATCATCGTTATTATCATCAACCTCTAACCGTTATGGTTCTGCAACTGATAGAATTTGGCCGGTAAAATTTTCGTACCTTTTTGTTTTTCATCTATCATTGCACACGTCATTCTTGATTATTTGTTTTTTTATGTGTAGGAATTGAAGCCGAGTTGGAAACTTGCTTTGGCCACGGTTATCAGTTTTTTTGGTTCAGCATGTGGAACCGTTGGTGGTGTTGGTGGTGGTGGCATTTTTGTTCCTATGCTTAATCTTCTTCTCGGTTTCGATGCCAAATCCGCTGCTGCTCTTTCTAAATGTAGTAACACCAATGTTTTCATATCATAGTGGATACCCTAGGGTTTACATTAACACTTGCATACACTTGATAAGTTTGAATTGTTGTGGAATTGATTTAGGTATGATAATGGGGGCTTCCGCGTCTTCTGTTTGGTACAATTTGAGAGTGGCTCATCCGACGAAAGAGGTGCCGATATTAGACTATGATTTGGCTCTTTTGTTTCAGCCAATGCTTATGCTTGGGATTACTCTTGGTGTTACTCTCAGTGTTGTTTTCCCTTTTTGGCTTATTACTGTCCTCATTATCATTCTCTTCATAGGTTTGTTTCTCTTTTTCTTCTGTCATGGATGAATCAATTCTTCAATACTGTTTTATCATCCATTGGTTTTGTTTTTGTACAGGAACTTCTTCAAGGTCTTTCTTCAAAGGAATTCAAATGTGGAGGGTTGAGACCATTCTTAAGGTAAAAAATTCCTCTTATAATAAGTCAATAATTGTCGACTCAAGTTTTATATTTGTTTTGCAGAATGAAACTGCTAAGCAAGCTGCTTTGGTTAATTCCAATGGAGAATATGAAACAGGTATACAAATTTCCAAAATAACATGTCATGCTCTCTATTATTGTTTTGAATGGAGCGGTACTAGTGACTCTATTTTTCATGAAATTTGCAGTTCTAATCGATGCGAGATATGAACCATTGATTCCTAAAGAAAAGAAATCAACTATGGTATGTTTTCTTGCATATGACAAAATTTTCATTTTGCTGTTTTCAAGAGGAACTGATTTTTTTTCTCATGTGAAACCCTTTCAGCAAATACTCTGTTTTAATCTTAAATGGAAGAGGATTCTAGTGCTGTTGGCTGTGTGGATTTCTTTCCTCCTAATTCAAATCATCAAGGCAAGTTTCCCTCTCACTCGCTCACGCACTCACACAAGTCTATTAAGTTTTGTTTTGTTCATTTTTTACAATAACTGATTCATCGTTGGTTTGCAGAATCATGTAGAGGTCTGCAGTGTTTGGTATTGGGCGCTCTTCAGCTTGCAGGTTCGCTATAGACATCAAAAATCTTGATCTCACAGTCCCAACCGCGGGAAAACATTACTGTAAAAGTATATATGTAATGTGGTTGGTTAGACTTTGGCTAATTGGCAATGCTTGTGTCTTTTTTCTGTTTCAGTTTCCAATTGCATTTTTGGTATTCGGCTTTGAGGCAGTCAAGTTGTACAAGGATCACAGAAAGAGGAAGGGCACAGGGAGCCTAGAATACATATGTGAGGCTTCAATAGAATGGAGTGTTACAATCACTTGCGTTTTGTGCTATTTGTGGTATTGTTGGTGGAATGGTTGGAGGCCTACTTGGTTCTGGAGGTGGATTTATTTTGGGGCCTCTTTTACTTGAGATTGGTGTCATCCCACAGGTACATTATGTGATCTCTTTCAATTGTGCATACCAATGTTGACACTATAGCTGCAATTGTTTTGACCAGTGTTATCAATTGTGGTTCACAAACAATAGTGGTTTGCACGAATTCCGTTACACAACAACGCTATGGCGACACTACAGCCACAATGCAACAATATTATGTACTAACTTGTGCTTCACATGACACTAATGCTGATGTTTAAGAAACTTGACTTCTACTAGATGTTTTGATGATTTAAATTGCAGGTTGCTAGTGCAACAGCAACATTTGTGATGATGTTTTCATCATCTTTGTCTGTTTTTGAATTCTACATTCTCAAGAGGTTCCCTATTCCTTACGGTACATTTCATCAAACTCTTCAAACCTTTGATCCATTTTCAACATCTTATCAATATAAATGTAACAACTTTTGTCAATTTCCTTGTTTTGTATGCAGCACTATACCTCGTCACAGTGTCTGTTTTGGCTGGCTTTTGGGGACAATTCTTTGTACGAAAACTAGTTGTGTTTCTCGGGAGAGCATCTCTCATCGTATT